GCCAATTGCTGAATAAGGTCAGGTGATCTACAGCCCCTCTGGGGGGTCTTTTTGGCAATGGCACCCAACTTGTGGAACAGCCTCCTTGCTAAGGCTTGTCCTACACCAACATTATCCATCTTTCAGTACCAGCTGAAGACCTTTCCTTTCTACCAGGCATTATAAATTTGGTGCCTATATGACCTGCGCTGTGACAGATGAGAAGTATATTAGATTTTCGCTCTTTTAATTGTTCTCTTATTTCCAGTTTTATGGTATTTTGAATTGTTGCTATGTGCCCTGAGATTATCCTTGATGAAGGGTGGTGTATAAATTATATATATATAAGTAAAAGTAAATAAATGCACAAGTTTTATTGAAACGATGCAGGTTATGATATACTGTTCCTCTGTGGGTATCAATGTAACTGTTTTATTTAGTGACTTTTAGGTAGGGGTTGTGTCAAGGAACAATTATATATAATATCCATTTGGCAAGAACAGATTCACCTGCTGCAGGGATGGATTCTCACACCAGCAATACTGATTTCTCATTTGTTTATTTGTTTCAAGATCCTACCACACAGAAGCCAAGTATTTTAGCTGGTATATTTGAAATGCCAGAGTGTGGTCGGTTGGACTTTTTCATATATCGTTGACTTACGTGTCTTGCTGATATTTACAATAGCGGGGGCAGGATTGTAAGGAATTCTGATCCTCTGAACTAACTTGCAATCCCCTATTTGAGCAATCAGGATTCAAAGAGTACACAGAACATTTTGGCCAGGGCGTACTCCTACCATATAGGATATTAAGAAGGCTTACCCTGGAATTTGCAACTTGTCTAAGCTGCAACTCGTCTGGAGCTAACAGTGTTCTGTTTTCTCTCATTCATGCCTGGAATGGGAAATCTGTTGCCCTGCAGAGATTGTGAGACTCCCACCTCCCATCAGGACCAGACAGCACAGCTAATAGTTAGGGATGATGGAAGCTGGAGTCCAGCATTTGGGGAGTCATGGGTTCCTCATCCTGATGTATGCCATATTGTTACCCATTGGTGCATAGATGCAATGTACATAAACATATATTTGTTCTTATTGCTTCAATACAATACAGATCCTGAAGCTGAGACTCCAATACTTTGGCCACCTTATGAGAAGAGAAGACTCCCTGGAAAAGACTCTGATGTTGGAGGGCACAAAGAGAAGGGGACGACAGAGGACAAGATGGTTGGATAGTGTTCTCGAAGCTACCAGCATGAGTTTGACCAAACTGCAGGAGGCAGTGGAAGACAGGAGTGCCTGGCGTGCTCTGGTCCATGGGGTCACAAAGAGTTGGACACAACTAAACGACTAAACAACAACAACATTCCTATTGCAGCTGCGGAGTTGCATTGTGGCTTCTGTAGTTAGTACCAACACATAGAAAGGTCAGGACGTTATCTGGGGATCTTGAGTGTCTAAGTCTAAAGGCTATGCAGCTAAACTCTGGACTTAATGCAATCTCTACAACTGCCATCCTAACCCCACTTGCTGGGAACAAGGAGCACTGAAGTCAGTAGGGCTTACTTCTGAGTTGACATGGTTAGGACTGGAGCTTATATCAGCCTCTCTCTCCTTTGTTTCAGCATGGAATCACCAAGAAGGGCAGAGTGAGGAATCTGAAGGCTGGCAGAAGTGAGCAATGATTCTGTACTGGGAGAAGGGCAGAATTTTAAACCAAGGGTGAGAGATGCCCACCTACAGAAACTGACTCCACTGTGGATTTAGTAAGATCTCTTCCTCCATCCTAATCATCCCTTAGGGTCCTGGCCACAATCCAAATCACTTTTATGCACATCACACAGTGAAATTCTATGCAACGTTATTAAGGTGGTTTTTCCAATGGTAGAAGACATGCAAAAGTTGCCAACAGGAGAGAGAAGAAAGTGTGTGCGTGTGTGCGCGCACGCAATAGCACAACCTGCTTCTTTGCCTTAAAAGATGTGTGATATACCTAAATGGGCACTAATCCTTAGTTCACATGCCCTACTGAACTAAGCCTAGGCATGCAAAACTAAAATAATCACGCATCCTTCCCCTGTTTATTTTTGTCTCCACTTCCTTTACTTCTTCTGTTGTTTCCTCTGAGTGAGACAATTTTTGGCAAGGCAAATTGCAGGTGTGTTAAGGGGGTGGGTGGAAGCCCCTCCCTTGCCCTGCTAAGGTCACAATCAGGATTTGGGTGGGTGGGAGAGAGAGACCCCTCTCAGTAAGGGATGAAGCCTCACCTGGACTCTGAAGATCCTAAAAGCATCACTCAAAAGTCAGACCTATTGATTTAAATTTTGGGCTGACCAGCTTCCGTGTAGTTATTAATCTTCAGCCTTCCAGATGTTGTTGGACTGCAACTCTCATCCTCCCTGACCATTGGCCCTGCCGGCTGGGGCTGATGGGACTTGCAGTTCCACAACCTCTGGAGGGCCATAGATTCCCCATTCCTGCTGTAGCCAATGCCATTGAAAGTAATCATTGGATCCCATCATCATCATCATTTATTATTGCTACCCTGCCCATCTGGCTGGGTTTCCCCAGCCACTCTGGGCAGCTCCCAACTGAATATTAATAATAGAATAAAACATTAAAAACTTCCCTAAATAGGGCTGCCTTCAAATGTCTAGAAGATAGTCAGAAGTCAGATAGTTGTTTATTTCCTTGACATTTGATGGGAGGGCGTTCCACAGGGTGAGCGCCACAACCGAGAAGGCCATCTGCCTGGTTCCCTGTAACCTCACTTCTTGCAGTGAGGGTACCACCAGAAGGCCCTCAGTGCTGGACCTCAGTGTCCAGGTTGAGCGATGCAGGTGGAGACGCTCCTTCAGGTATACTGGGCCGAGGCCGTTTAGGGCTTTAGAGGTCAGCACCAACACTTTGAATTGTGCTCGGAAATGTCCTGGGAGCCAATGAAGGTCTTTTAAGACCAGTGTTATGTGGTCTCGGCGGCTATTCCCAGTCACCAGTCTAGCTGCCACATTCTGGATTAGTTGTAGTTTCCGGGTCGCTTTCAAAGGTAGCCCCACGTAGAGCACATTGCAGTATTCCAAGCAGGAGATAACCAGAGCATGCACCACTCTGGCGAGACCATCTGCGGGCAGATAGGGTCGCAGCCTGTGTACCAGATGGAGCTGATAGACAGCTGCCCTGGACACAGAAATGACCTGTGCCTCCATGGGCAGCTGTTAGTCCAAAATTACTCCCAGGCTGCACACCTGGTCCTTCAGGGGCACAGTTACCCTATTCAGGACCAGGAAGTCATCCACACCAGCCTGCCCCATCCCCCCAGAACAGTACTTCTGTCTTGTCAGGATTCAACCTCAATGATCTCTGAGTCAGTTTCAGCCCCAAAGACTTCTTATTGGCTTTATCTGTCTACAATGGGAAAGGATTCAAGAGACCAGGACAGACGACCTGCTCCTGCCCTGTTGAAGGAAGCAGCTTCCTGGCCGGTTTTATGAAACCAGCTGAACGGATCGCGGTTCCTCATTGGCTCCTCTTGCAGATGCAGCAATGCAAGAAGGCGACTAGGCGGCTGAAAATACGAGGCGGGTTTTAGACCTGCGATCCGTGGCTGGTGAGAAAGTCTCTCCTGCAAAAGGTGCGCTTTTTGCCCCTTCAGGTGAACACTGAGCACAACACCAGGCGGCTCCGAAATCTCGTCTCTCACCCACCCCCACAAAAATATACTGTCCGATCTCAGTCATTCCTGCAGCATTTTTATATCACCCAACGTGCTTTATACATTTTCATAATATTCCCATTCTAAAGAAGCACAACTGAGGCCAAGCACAACGCGCCCGGGCCCCTTTGCAGCTCAGTCCTAACCCATCTTGCTAAGGCGGCTAAAGTTTTGACACACACATAGCCAACTTGTTCCAGAAAGCATTTTAAGACAGTGTTTGATTTTATGATACATTTTAATGTAATGTTTTCTGTGGATTAGTTTTATGCACACTGCCTAGAGGAGCAAATGAGTAAGCTGTATATACGGTAAATGTCTTTAAAGAATGAATGAATGAATAAGTACAGTCCAAACGATTTCACTGGCACTCCAAGAAAGCTTCCCTTTGCTTCAGCCCTTTGTATGCGCACTTACTCGGGAGTAAAGCCCAAGTGGACCTCAGTGAGACTTAGTAAACATGCTGCTTAGAGGGCGATTCCGGCCTGGCCCAAAGGGATTTGAACGTATGTTCAAATTCAGCGTCCTGGTCTGGCCTCTGGAACAAAAGTTGGACTTGAACCGGGCGGGGAGCGTTGGCTACAGTGTGTATCAATATTTAGGGGTCGCTTTTCCTCCGCCCGTCCTCCGCGCTTGTCATATGGGGGCACTTAACCACAGCAGCAAGGAGACTTCGTTGCCCGTTTGATCTCCCATCAGGTTTTGTGCCCCAGCCAGAGTTTCACATTCAGCTGCGAGGCTCCAGCAAACGTTGCTGAGGTCACGCCTTTCCACTTGATTTATGTTGAGTGCTCCAGCAGCAACCAGGATGTGGGTTTCTTGCCTTCCCATTATCTCTAATTGCCACCTTGTTAACTCGGTGAGCGCTCCAGGGTACCTCCTCGTCTCACCGAGCGCGTACGAAACCAGCCCCGCCGCCACCTTCCCACTCCACCGCTGGCAAGCAACTGGCCCCGAGCCGCGCCTCCTCGGCCCCCTCCGAGCGCTTCTGCGGCCACTTGGCAGGGTGAGGCCTCCCGCCCTCCGAGAGGGAAGAGGCACTGAAGGCGTTACGTGGAAGGCGAGCCACTCAAACCAACAAACCAAGCCGCCCGGACCCATCACCAAGAAATAAGGGATTTGCAGTCCCCCAAAAAGGAAGCGCGCTCCAAAAGGGGTGGAGAGGGAGAAATGGACCCCTACGGTGGCGGTCCTAAGCGAGACCCCGGGATTAAGCCTTTGCCCTGCAGCCGGGGAAGGAACCCTGTGGATCTCGCTGGTGGCTTTGCTGATCAGGAAGTCCTGATCAAGCGCCTCGAGGAAGGCGGCTCACAGAGTTGGCGAGCAATCCAGGCGGGGCGCGGGCGGCCTTGCGCTTTTACGCACGCCGGCCGGCCGGCCGGCCTGCTTGCCTTGGGGACGCGACCGGTGCAGCCTCTCGCTCCCAGACCGGCCGGTCTCCCCTCCCCGTCTAACAAGCAGCCCCGGCTCCGCGGATCTGGAGCGGGTCGAGTCGGGTTTCCACTCGCGAGACCCGGCGGCGCTCTCAGGGAAGTGAGGCGGAGAGTTTCTTGGGCAGCTCCGAAGGCAGCCGCTCCGGCGTGAACTCGCGCCGCCAAGTTTCTGCGAGCTTTTCAGCGAGCTTTTAGCAAGGTGCCATTTGACCTCGCCAGCCATTTTTCCCGAACCTGTCGGTGGAAAAGGCAGCCAGGTTAACCCTTTCCTGCCACGCCCTCGTGGGGCTCCTCTTCGCCGAGTCTCGTGCCTTTCACGGAGCCCGAGGGGGCTGGGGAATCTCCTAGGAAGCGCAGCATGGGCGGGCGGCGAGGGACTGGAGAGGACACCCCCCCCCAGCCAAGACCTTAATTTTGTCAAGTGAAGGTGACAGCAGGAAGAAGCTTCTGAGGAGGCAAACTCTGCTTCTTTAAGTCTCTCCCCCCCCCCCGCAGCGCTTTGACAAGAGAAGAATGTGGCCCGCTGACGTCAGGTGTTTGCCCATTCTTTTGTTCGGTTAAAAATAGTTTCGTGTGACAGCTTACCTGAGATGCGTGTCCGACCGTGTAGGATGCAAAGCAGAATTTGCCAGGGGAGGGATCGGTAATTCCAGATCTAGGATCGCGATTTATTGAATGAATGAACAGCAAAAGGAACAGGATTCCCCTCTGCACACCCGCAAACACAGAGTTAAGCGCGCTAAAACCCAATGAAGTCTATGGGTTTAGACGAGACGATGGCAACCTTAATGTTTTGGTAACTTGGTTGGCTAATGTTAGATCACCAAAAAGCAAAAAGCAAACTATTAGCAGGCTCTTCAAAAATCGCAGCCTACCCCCACCATCGCTGTAGTGAGAGGGGTGTTGTTGAGGGATGGCTAGACGACAGCTATTCTTCAGGTTACTCCTCTCACGATCTTTCCTTTCTTTTTTGCACAGGTATTTTAGTGGGGGGAGACAAAACAAATATATTGTGTCAACAGGAATGCAAGGAAATATATAGCCTGATTAGTAAAGCAGTTAATCAGAAGCATTTGTTTTAAGCCGTTTTGGCACTTTACCTGGTGCCAAGCCTTCAATTGTAAATGTTGATTGTAATGAGTTTTTAAATCGGTTCAAACCCGAATCTATCAGGTGAGCAAAACTGCTGAAACCCAAGCATTCAGGAATAACCAGTTTGTGAAACTGAATCTTGGTGGCATTTTAAGGAAGAGATGTTCTAGTGTGCTGTATTTGTATACACAAAAACGCACTGGGCACGATTCTCCAGATAGTTGTCCTCCAGAAACGCCCAGAAAGGAGTGAGAATCGCTGGCTGTCCTGGTGGGTGGGTGTCTGTAGGTGTCTCTGTCTGTGTAGGAAGACGGGCAGATGTATAACGCTCTTGTTTTGTGCACAAGAGACGCGCCACAGGAGATGCCCTACAATATGCATGCCATGTGCGGGAGCCTGCTCATCTTCCCCAGATTTCCCATGCATATAAATGGGACTTAAATCATGGTTTAATTTGTTTCGGGGTTCACCAGAAGTCAGTCACCAAATCAGCGCCCTCCCTCCTAATATCAAGACAGCTGCGGGGCATATGAAATGTTAGTTTTGGAAGGAGGAAAGAGGGGCGAGTGGCGTGCCTCTGAGAGGGTGCAGGGTGCGATTCCCACGCTTTTAGGTTCGGGAAAAGGCGGTTTCGGGATGGAGCGCGTTCCTCCCGGGACTCTTGAGCCCCGGCACCTGTCTCTTGAGAAACACCGCGCGCGCTCTGGACTATCTTTCCAGAGGCGGTGCTTGAAGCCCCGTCGCCAAGACCTCGAGAGTGGGCTCTGCTTTCTGGGACTGGGGCTCCGCTTAGACGGCGCGTTCCTCGAGTCCCCTTCCTTCGAGCCACCGGGGCAGGATCTGCCCCTGCAGCGCCTCGGAATGGAAGAGCTGCCCTCTGGGGCAGCCGCCCGTTGCGCTTTCGTTCTCCCGGGTTTGTTGGTGAGGGGAGAATTTCGCAGGCTCCTGGAAGGGGAGTCCCGCCAGGCGTTTTTTCTCCTTTTTTTTTTAGGAGGGGCACTGGGGCGGCCTCCTTCCCTCTCCCGCAGGGGCTTCCCAGGGGGACAGGTCTGGTCTAGCTCAGAGAGCTCCCCCCTCTGCAGTCCCTGGCTGGGGTCAGCGGAGGGGCAGCGCAGGGAATGGGCGCTGCAGCCGCCTCCTCTCCGCCCTGCGCCGCCAGCGCCTGCCTGGCCGGGGGAGCTTGGCTGTGGCTGTAGGCGCGGGTGCCTCTTTCGTGGGAAGCGCCTTGCGGTTCGTTCCAGCATCCAAAAGCACCGAGGAGCCAGCCTTTCTCCTGCCCCCCCCCCCTCAACCCACTGGAGCCCCGTGGCGGCTGCCGTCGTATCTCTCTAGCATCTCAGCTGCAGCCAGAAGCAGGAAAATAAAACTGCAAAGCAAATGTTTGCGTTTCTTTTTGTGACTTTAAGCCCGATCCCTTTCCCATGCTTTCAACATTCCGGAGATATTGGAAGCCTTTCATTCTCTCCCTTCGGAGGACCCACGTGCTGCTCACCTACGTGCCTTTCCTTAGGAGGAAATCCCGGGCTTACTTCCGAGTAAACATGGTTAGGGCTCAGGCTGCTAAAGTACTAAAAAACATTTTTTAAAAAATCCATTTTAACCTTAAGACAATTAAAAAGAAGTCGTCTTGCAGCACTAGTCCATGCACGTTTACTCGGAAGTAAGCCCTACTTATTGGAGGTTTACTCCCAGGTATCATAGATTTTGTCTCAGACAAACGCAAAGGTCGCTCCAAGGACCATTTCCAGTTCAAAATCCAGGCTGGCAAGAATTCTCTTTGAATCTCTGCTTCAGCGACCGCCGCGTTTTCGCATTTAAGTTCCAGTCCTGTTTTATTTTCCAGGTCTTTAAACATAAATGGCTAGATTTGAAAATACTGTTTACAAATAAAAAGAAGACTTGGAATTTAAAAGGTGTTCGGTAAAATAGTTGCCCACTATATTTATTTTCTTTTGTGAGATATTCAAATCCCGAAAAATGCTACCCAAACTGGTTTTTGCTCTTAATCCCGTAACATCTGTAATTCCACAATTGTATTGGTATATATTAGTCAAAGTCCTACAAATAAATTATTTTGGGAGAAGAAAACAAAGTCGGAAAAAGGTAATGGATTTCTTGTAATATATATATATATATATATAATATTACTACTATTTTCTCATCGAAGAGATCCGATTCTTTTTGTTTTGTTTTGTTTTAATAAACAGCCAGGGAAATAAAAGTATTGCCTCCCCTCCCCCTTTGAAGTTACCTTTTCGTGGCTGCTTCGTTGCGTGGGGGGCCAGCGCTGTTTATCTGCCCCACGCCCACCCAATATTCCAGCAATCCAGAAATCAAGTCAGGGAACTTTTCCATATTTATTTATTTGTGTTGTTGCAAAAGGATTCGCCTCAATTGTTCTCTTTTTCCCCCCTGGCATTTTCCTTTCTTTCTTCCCTTTTCTCCGGTTACATTTGGCCCGCTTGCATGTTTTTTTTAAAAAAGCAGTTGGAGATGAACATGCTTTGCAATTCTACCCCCCCCCTTATTTCCCATCATAATCTTCAACTGGTTTAAGATTAATGCTTGGAGGTGTCTTAAGAAGGAATGGTGCGTCTCCTCTCCAAAGACCATCACTGGGATCATTTACTTAAGATGTTGACAAGACTGTCAGGAAGTCTATCTCTCCCCCCCCTTTTATTTTATTTTTTTACTAAGCTGAGCCGTGGCACACTGTAGTGAGCATTTGATTTTTTTAAAAGTAAGGTACATTAATTTCATGAGCGCCTTCTCATAAATATTGTTGTTTGCTCTGTCCCTCTGCCTGGCAGAAAAGGTTTGTGGGGTGGGGGTGGATTTGCAATGGAAATCATGCCTTTGTTTCAGGGGGGGGGGGAAGCATGCGCTTTGCTGCTCAGATAAATTCCTCCACTCCTCCCATATATTCTTGACAAGAAAAATAAAACCAGAAGGCGCCTCCTGCCCGGCTTCAGCCGGGTCCCCCCACCCCTGCCAGGTCTTCTCGCTGTGCTTTGTTGTCTCTCTGTCTCTCTTTATACCCTGAAACCTACTAAACTTGCCGGTTCTGCTCCTAAAGCAGACAAAATAACCCTTTTTAAACTATAAATATTTAACTGTACCTGAGTTTATACAGTGGCCCGGATGCCTCTTTAAACGCCGGTGATTTATGCTTTTATTTGTGCCTTTAAAACTGTTTTGCTTGCCTTACATGATCTCTCCTTTTTTTCCAGGTGGGCTGCTCCAGCCCTCCTTCCTTCCTTCCTTCGAGCCGCAGCATCTCGAGACAGGGGACAAGATGAGCAGGGAAAATGCGCTTTTATAAGGGCGTGCTATTATTTATTTAAAGGAGGGTCTTCTGGTGTTCAGACCCAACCGAGGATTTTTGGACTACACAGAGATCCTCGGTCTTAAAACCTGCGTTGAAAGAGCGACGGAAGCACCAAGAGGCTGTTGATGAGTTTATAATCCGGATCCCCTTTCCATCTTGCAGGTCGGTTTCTTCTAAGTGCCCAGGAGAGATCAGGAGTGCGGCCCACCACCGGCTTAAGCTGAGACCTGGGGGTCGCTTCCTCCCATTTACACGCGCCAACTTCTTTGGGACTAGCCCCTTTAATTCTGAAACATATTTCCCCCCCTCTGAAGCAGATCGCATAAATGTCACACTCCTGAGTAACTGCAATTCGATGCAGAGTGAAAATCACATCAAGTTGTTGAGCTCGGCGGGATTACTTGACTGGTGTGTATCGTAAAACACTACTTTCCGACACTTAAGTGAAAGCAGGTCGTGAGGCTTCGCTCAACAACAGGATGTGTTGCGGATCAGCGTTGCGGATTTTACCCGCTGTCCGTTTTGCGTTAGATGAGCCTCATCCACAGCGATAGGAGGGGAAATGCCGTCCTAGGAATGCCTTGTGCTGCTCTTAACGCCATCCTAACCATGTTCCGTTTATCAAGGAGCTAAGGGGATTTCATTCTTAGTGAGAGCAGCCTTAATTTCACGTTTGCAAACTGTTATGTTTGCTAGAACAAATGGTTCCCCCCTTTTGCAATAATACAATATACCTACATGTGCTGGGGGTGCAATCCTATGCACACTGACCTCAGTGGGACTTACTTTTGAGTAGGCATGTGGCGGATTGCACCTAATAAGGTGAACTCAGCGCTGCCATAGCTCCCTCTCCCTTTTAGATTCTGTTTCACTTTCCACGAGCTTCTATAATAAATACTCGCTTTGAGGGGGAAACTTGCAGGCTTGCTAGACCGGCATT